GGACGGCTGTGGATCACATGCCAGATTTGTGGACCCTCCGGGAAACTACTCCTGTGAATGCCTAACAGGATTTGAGTCGAAAAAATGGCCAAGTGGCTTCAATAATAAAAGTGACAATGATTGCACAGGTAAGGGCTTTCTGGGATCTCCTTTTGCTTGAGACACTGCATGCTTTTTTTTCTGCGTGGCCCTGCTTGCATGCACAAAACAGCTGGGGACCACAGGAGAGGCGCAGGTCATGCGTTGTACACCCTGGGATGTACTACACTGCTATGAAATGTCAGGGACCCTGGCAATTGCTTGTCAAACCTATCTTTCCAGCCCAGAATCAACATAAGGAAGCTTTCCCATTTGTGTATCAGTTATTCTACAGGAGGTGACTAAACCTTCTTCATGAGATCACCTTTATTTTGCTGATTTGAATGTATTAAACACTTTGCATTGGGTCAGATTTTTTATCGATCCAGACTAGTTGTCCCTAGTCTGCAGATGTGACTGTTCTAGATGCTGTCATCCCAAGCATGGCTACCTGAGGCCCTTTTGAATGAAGATGGGTTTACCTTCTGCATGCAGATTATATGCTCTTGCAGTTTACATTATGGATACTGTTATTTTCTCCCAAGGGTTATTCTTGTTCTTCTTCGTGGCTTCTGTGAATCACACTATGGGTAATCCGCACATGTGCAGAGCCTCATCGGAATATTCTAGAGCTTCTGCGGTAGCAAAGGAAAATACATTAGCATAGGCCCCTCCCCCCGGTATATGTACCTTGGCGCCAAGGCTCTCCCTTCAGTTTCTTTCAACGAGCCTTGATCATTGCTTCTGTGAGAAATCTGAAAATGAAAGAAGGAAAGTTATTGAATTTTACCCCCCACTTTCCGTTGTTTCCTTATCTAAACCAGTTTTGGGGTCATGACCTTTTCAGGCTGATTTAAAAGCTGCGTAGCCTGCAATAATGAGATCCCACTCTCTGACAGCCTCCCTAAATGCCTTTTTTGCCTCTGTGAGGCCATCAAACTTCCTCTTCCCCTCACTGCAAAAACTTTAAACACTGAGTTCTCCACAGTTGCCTCTCTAGACTCAAGCTTTGGCTCTGAGGGCAATCCCTAAAGCCATGGATGAAGCTGTTCCCGAAGCAACAAAACAGCGCCCGTCAGCTACTCCACCTTGTTCTGATCATTGACAACCTACTCTGCCCTCGATATCAATGGTCACGCGAGTGCACAAAGCCAAACATTCAACGTCAAAACCCTCGATATCGAAAACAGCCTCTAATACCGCATGGACGCTTCCTCGGCACCAGAACCGTCACCTCTGAAGAAGGCTAAGTCTTCAAAATTGAAGCCTTCCACAACCATTTCCCCGACTCCACAACCACCAGAGTCTGGGAACCTCACCTGTGTCAGTTCTCTTTCAGATGAGGAGGCACTTCCACCTCATCAACCTCACCATCGCACACAAATCCATGTTACTACAGATGACAGCCTTACCGGCTGGGGTGCCCATTGCAGATCTCTGCAAATCTATGTCCGGTGGTCACAAAGAGAGAAACTGATCCATAACAACGAGCTAGAACTCTTAGCAGTAGTAAAAGCTTGCAAAGCTTTCAAAAACCATCTTGTCAGCAAAATGGCTCAAATAGCCACAGACAACGTCTCCGTGATATATTATATTCTCACTCCCCACGTCTTTTACACCTCGCTGTCGACCTGTGGAAATGGTGCCTCTCTCATCACATTTGTCTCACAGCAATACATGTAGCCAGTCAAGACAACAATCTGGCAGATTTCCTCAGTCGAAAAAAATCTCAAGCCCACGAATGGGAGCTGGATCAATCTTTTTTTTCTCTCTCTCCCTGTGCAAACAATGGGGCACACCCATCATCGACTTTTTTGCCTCCCAGGTAAACTGAAAATACAAGTGTTACTGCTCCAGGAGTAGTAACAGGAGTAGGCAAGAACTCCCACGGAGATGCATTCATCAGCCATTGGCCCAAGTCACTCGTTTACCTGTTTCCTCTGTTCCCGCTCCTCCACAGAGTTGTAGTCGGCTTCAGGAGGACAGGCCCAATGCTATCCTGATAGCTCCATGGTAGCTGCGACAGCCATGGTTCCCAATTCTCCACCAGCTGTCATCCGACATTTACCACCTGCCCCGTCTACCTCACCTGCTCATACAGAACAAAAATAAAATTCTCCCCCCAGATCTCCCTGCTCTTCATCTTGCAGCGTGGAGGATTCAGCCTCACTGATTAATGTCATTCATCATGAAAAGAAACCTTCAACTAGAAAGGCCTATATGTATAAATCAGGAGTCAGGGAACTTTTTTACCTTATACGCCCCCCAAAAATTATATACGCTAACATTACCCCCCTTGATTTGAAAGGAAAGAAATCATACATTATTTGAATTCAAAATCTTATTGAATCTACACAGGCTGCCAGAGTGTTGCTAGCAATGACGTGCTTGCTAGAGACAGCCAAGGCAGAGTT